GTAGGGCCGATCGGCGGAAATGTTTATGTTCAAGTCACACACTACGACAGATTCGATGAGACTCTGTAATATACATAACATACGCGACTATAAAACTTATACGAATAAAAAGTACATGGCATTAATAATTTCAGAAAAGGAATGAACAGTAAAGACATGTAAATTGATCAACATATACAATATTTATTCATTGAAATATAATAATTTCAGAATAGGACAGAAAAATAAAGACATGTAAATTAATCTATATATACAATATTTATTCATTCAAATATAATCAATGAATATAAACAATGATTGGCCACCCGTCACCCGCCGTCCGCTTCGGCCTCTTCCTTCTCCGCGGCGTCTGCATCATCGGAAATTGTTTTTATCTGAAATACAATAATGAATGTTTTATAAGAAGAAAAAACAATCGTAGGAATTCAGTGGCTACTGTTGTAAACATAATTTCCATTTCACGAAAAATCTAATTCCGCCACATTTATTACATAGAAGAATCAACGCTTTTACTTACTTGCGACGTTGACGGCCTCGGATTCTCCTTTCTCTTCCCTCTTATCCGACTTCGTTCCTTAGACCTCTTTCTCCTGTTTCTTCTATCCTCTTTCTTTTTCATTTCCTCCTTCTTTTCTTCCTTTTCTTCCTTGTCCATCTGTGAAGAAAATAATTTATGTATAGATAACGTAATATTAATTATGTAAGATTATACTTGCCGATTATACGTGATCAGGCAGCATATTTGCAGTCCATTTGTCCTGGTAACGCTGTCTTCAATATACCTATATATAATTTTTTAATTTTTTTCGAGAAGAGGAAAATGCTGTGTTTAATTTCTCAACGATAAAAATGTTCATGCAAAGATGAATGAAGATAAATATTGCAAAAAGGAAAAGTTAATGGAAATAGATGATTAAATAAATTCATTTTAACGTTTTTTGTCGGATTTTGCTTGTTTGATCGTTTTCGCCCCTTAACCGGGAAAGGGGTTAGAGAACGGATTCGCCAGAAAGTTTTTGCCGGTGCGCGACCTTGCCGAAGCGATACCTTCCGATGGTGCAACCGCGTATAGAAAAAGGTGCGAAGTGATCACGGAGGATCTTTGATTCTGAGAATTGTATTTGAATAAAGAGAAATCCAAAGAAAAGTTTAACAGTTCTTGCTAACCGAAGCAGATTGTTCGAATTTCTGCTAAACTTGTACGCTAAGCCGAGTATAAAAGAAAGCAAGTATGCGGCGGCATATTTATATTATGGTTCCTTCGTCCCCGTCGTCGCCCGCCGGTCTAGCAGCCCAGTCGGCTCGCTACGTCGGCCAACGGAGCGAGTGAGATGGCTGGAGGCCGGCGGAACGAACAGCAGAAACGAAGGAAGCGATCTAGAAATTTCTAGATGACTCGTTCGACGCTCGAACATTGCTCAAATTTAGATATGTTGTATTTTTTACTGATATATAAACGTATCTCGAATAAGTCGAAGGTACTTTGGAATATTTTGTATAATTATAGGAATGAAAACTACAGGACATGAATAGTTTGAAGAATGGAATAAGAAAAAAATTATTTCAGTCGAAAAAATAAGTTTTGAGTTCTACACTCGCTTCCATCCAAAAAACCTCTTCTCGGGAATCCTTTCTTCGAAAATCTGTAACAAATTTTTTAAACAAAACAAAGAAATATAGTATGGCGTCGCGTAACTCACGAGATCGTATGATCCGTGAGTACAATTGCTATTTCGTGCAATTGTGAACCACCAACAGAGTCAGTGGTACTGCACTTTGCAGTGCAGTGCGACGCCGGACAGAAACAGTATTTTTTATTACTGTCCGCATAAGACCTTTTTTGAATTTTCATAGGTCACTATTTTAAAATGTGTATACCGGCGTCGAACAACTCACGAGATCGTATGATCCGCGAGTACAATTGCTATTTCGTGCAATTGTGAACCACCAACAGAGTCAGTGGTACTGCACTTTACAGTACAGTGCGACGCCGGACAGTAGTAATATTCCTGCTACTTTCTGAGAGAGACCTTTTGCGCTTTTCTAAGCTTGCTCTCTCCTCTGTTATAAATTGAGGCTCCCGAATGGGCATTCCCCTATTGTACCGGCTATCTATTAATTCCGGTAACATGCACAATAAATAAAATTGAATTAATTTTGGCTCCATATTCTTTTGCCAAAAGTTATCGTCTCTATTGACTCTAATGTACTTTAACCCTTTTCGGGTCCAAATACAAAATAAGCAATATTTTCTACCTGTGATATGTAATTGTCCTTGTACTTGGTAGTAATAGTAGTGGTTCCTGTTCAATGCATTTCCTTCTGCGTCTGCAAATATACGCCGAATAACTGCAACACTTTTGATTGCCTCCTCCGGCAATAAATTCTCCGCCGTTTTCGGACATTTGATTTTCACAATGCCCTCTTCGTCTATAAGTCCATCTGGCGAAGCTCCTAAGAACGGGATGGCACTATCAATAAATAATCCACATTCTTTAATTTCCACACCAATGCACACACTTAGTTCTTCACGTGCGAATTTTTCGAATTCCTGTCCGTATTGTACTGCAGGTGCACTAATCAGTCGTGGATACACTAACGATTTCACTGAATTTCCACAGAGCGTGCCAATTCGACGACGGCATATTCGTCCGAAATTAGACACCGTCAATAATTTAGATTTGTAATTCAACCATCTCGGATTTTTCGCTTGACCGATGGTTTCTTCTTCAATGGCATCTCTTCTATTTTGCCAATTCTGTAACATTTCCATATGTTTTTTTTGCTCTAATTCATAAATATTGTTAGCCATATCCGGCTTTTCAGCGTTTGGTCCGTAATTGGAATCCTTTTCAGAACGGAATTGTTTCCGCACGTGCTTCGTAATGTTTTTTTCCTTTCACTTTTCACTGTATTTCTCATTTTTTTTCTTCCTTGTATTTTCTATTTTGCGTAAAATAGCGGGCGATTTCTTATTCATCGCCGTATTCAGACGCGACAACACTTGTTTTGTGTTATACTGTAGGACAGCAGCAGCACATCTTCCCGTGTAAGATCCCCTCTCGCCGAAATTCAATCTTTTTCCTCCTGTATATTTTGCGATGATTCCGTTGAAACTTTCTACGGCATTATTGTTGCTGTTATACAGCAAACTCTCAGCATGCGCCAACAGAGGTCGAAGTATATCTTTGATTTGTTCGTACACTCCCATCTTCATCAATTCGGGAACAATGTTCTTTTCATCTTTTTTACTCGTTCCATCGCAGAAGTATTGTAGTTTTGAACAATCTGCGTGTTCACCAAAAACATGGCTAGGAACATTGTGTATGTCGGCATACAAATTCTTAATTTTTTCAGCGGTTGTTACTTGCTGACTGTATCTGTACTCTGCGGCTTTTACTATGTCCGCACGCATTCGCCGAATGCTGCTTTCAACGATTCTTCTGAATGGACCAGGTGTTGTCATCTTTACAACTTCTTTCATTTTTCTGCAAAAGTTTCGCAATAAATGATTCGTGCATTCAATTTTTTTTACACGAATCTGTGCTTTATATGGATCTGCATCTATAATTTTTTTATAAACGCTGCTGTCCCCATCAGCAATTAGTGTTGAATAAATCAGCCCACGTTTTTCTACGCTGGTCTTGAAGCCTTCGACTATAGCGTCACTTTCCATAGCCGTTGATGCTTGGCTTGCGCTCCAATTTTTAAAACAGGTGTGCTTTCGTGGCTCTTCTTTCTTTTTCGCAGCACATCGACAAATCCTGCACACCTTGTTTCTCACACCAATAAATAAAACTTTCTTCGTGTGATATCCAATTATAACGCCGACTCCAGACGCGGAATTGTACGTTCCAGTCCGGTATGATCGTTTCATCCAGCTTCCATCGGCCACAACGGGGATGTGAGGGATTCCACATCCGGAAACAATATCGCCTCTTTCAATGGCCAAGCGTTTTTCTTCCTCTGCCGCTGTTACCATTTCTTCTTCTGCAGCAACAATTAATGTTTTCACTATTTCATCGTGATGTTTTCTAAATTCTTTCTTCGACATGCAGGGTATGTTCATCGCTGCAAGGAACTCTTCCATTTGGGCATAACTGGCTCCATTCACAATTGTTCCAGCAACGGCACACTGGTTTGTTTCCATGTGATTGCTTTCGTCAGGTTCACTGTGGATTTCACCTGTATATTTGCACATATCGCATATTACACTGAGGGTGGTCCTCAGACCCGACCGTTTCATGCCGGTTATTTTCAGGTGTCTAATTCCACAGTCTTCCCTGTTTTTAGCATGGTCACCTATTTTTTGAAATTCGGCAAAAATGTGCTGCATGTCCACGATACTCAAGCCACTGGGTAGACAGAATTGTTCTTCAGGCTCGTTCGTTACAGTTTTCTCTATGATCAATTCTTCATTTTCGGAAGTTGTTCCTTCTATATTTAATCCATCTTCTGTATTGTCCGTTTCTTCAATTTCAAACAATTCTTCCGTCGTTTCTTCTAACATTTCTGTACAATTTGTCGGTTCTGTTTCTTCATCCAATGGCAAGTAAATTTTCTCGGGAGTGTATGTTTGTCCATCGGATGTTGACGGCTCGGAAATATTCTGAAGGGCTAAACGCCGTCTTCTTTCGCGACATGCTCTTTTTTTTGAATATCTTTTCGTACTAATTGGTAATTTTGGCCGACGACTTTTATTTTTTATTAAACACTGATCTTCATACTGATTTCTTATATCTTCAACCATGACAATATTTTCACTATCACTCATTGTCACTATCCCACAACAATATTCACCTCTCACTTCACTTCACACTTTCAAAGCTTTAAAATAAATTCTATGATGTAATCTATTCCTTGCTTCGAATGCAACTATCGTGAAAACTGTCGCGAAGACGTAAAACACAGTACCGAAAAACAGAGGGTACCGCGGTGGGAAGTGTTTCTAAGGACTACGAAAAAAAAAGAACAATGACGTCGATATTTATTATAAAAAAAAAGTTTTGAGGTTGGATTCATTTATAAGATTATAATTTCAGATTGTAAGGAAAAAATATAACATGAAAATAAAAATTCAATCTGTAAAATTAGAAATTAGAAAAGGGTCTATGTTATAAGTCAGTGACCACGGTCCTGATCCCCACCACCATGCCATGCGAGTGCTTTCAGCATCCATGACAAAAGACAGTCAAGCTTGAACATGGCTGAAGACAAGGTGCGTATAATCGGCAAGCAGAATGTTTCATAATATTACGTTCTTTACACAGATATTACTTTCATTACAGATGGATGTAGATAAACAAATAGAAGAAAAGAAAGAAGAAAGAGAAAAGAAAGCAGAAGTTGAGGAGAAAGAAGCAGAAAACAAACAAGACAACACAAAGAAGGAAGAAGTGCCGAAGCGACAGGAGGAACAATTATCAGCATCAGAAGTAAGTAAAAACGTAATTTTTCTATGTAATACATGTCGCACAATTACATTCACGTGAAACGGAAATCATTTCTACAATAGTAGCAAATGAATTTCCACGATTATTTTTTGTTTTTTAATAATGTCACAATTGTAATAAAATTTATTATATTTCAGATTAAAAAAATGGTAAAAAAAATGATATATGGAGGACGCCGTGGCGGCCGGCACGGAGGAAGAGGTGGGCGATGGGGCGGCCGTCGTGGCGGGAGAGGAGGACGCCGGGGCGGCGGAAGAGGCGGCGATCGCCGTGTGATTTTTAATATTTTTTAATCATTTTATTTTTTAATAAATATTTTATATTTTTAATTCTTTCATTTATTACTATAATAAACAATGTAAATTATTACATATCTGCTTATTTCTTTTTCCCTTTGTACCGAATCTTCGGTGAATGTTCGCGATGAACCCGCGGGCGAGAATATTCGCGAAAGTCAAAAGCGATGTTCCGTGCGACAAAACACAGTCCGTCTCGCCAAGCCATCGGTATCGTCAGCTTGTTTTCTCACTCGCACTTGCACGCATTACGCCGTCCGCGCGATCAGCTGTCACCGGCGAGCATCGGCCGCTGATTCTTTGTTCTGTATTTATAGACGCGTTTGGGGTTGGTATAACTGTAATGTATAAGTGTACTGTAAGAGTTAGTCAATAAATTAGTTTCAAGTGAAACTGTTGACATTATTAATGTCCTGTAGTTTTCATTATACGTTATGTGTATTATTTCGTTCTTGCTGTCTCTCTTTCGTTCGCGCTGTTCTTTTGTATGCCCGGCAGGAATCAAAATCTCGTCAGTAAATGATAGATACATAAATAGGAATACAAACAGCACATTTATATCGCCTTCTATGTCTTTTCGCATATAGAATATGCTAAATATTAAAAAATGTACAAGTTGTATAATTCATTTATCTGGCATATCTCTGTAATTTCATTGATAAAAAAAGATGATTATACATATGAATAAAAAAGATTTATGGTTGCACACATTAATATATGTATTGTTTTATTCTCGGACTTCTTTCTCGGCTCGAGCCGATTCATTGTGTTGATGGTTACAATTGTAACAGGTGTGAACAGCGTGACAGAAGTCTAATACGTTGCGGCAACTATGCCTTACTTGTGGCTATATTCACGTAGCCGTTTGTGATGGTAAATTAGAATTTACATTTATCGACTGATTTCTGCTTTTATCGACCCTGATGATAACGTGGTCAAATATACCATCAATGCCTCTGACGGAAAATCAGTGAACTATTCTTCCGTCTATTTGACGTCTGATGCGTGCAAATCGTAAATTTCGTTTTACGTCTTCCAGAAGTGATAAATTGTGAAAAGTCGAATTTCAGTGACATTGTGCTAGTTCAAGGAAGGGTGGTCTGGTGTGCTATGGGTGAAAAAACCATTAAATCGTCCAATATTTGCTAAAATGCAGCTGAACGCAGCATTCGGCAGCCATGTTGTTTGCCTACAACATCGTCTGTCTCAATCTTACAGTGTCGAAAATATCATTTTTCTCAACGTATGGTGTTTATTAGCGTTCAAACGGACCAGACCACCCTGTGGTGAAGTCTACCCGTGGGTGCTGTACCCGCGAAAATTTCATTTGTGCAATTATCGAGACGAAAAACGAAATCTACGAAATCGAGTGTCTCTCTCACGCATGGCATATACGTGCATGCTTTCCGTTGATTGTGTGAGCGCACGCATACAGGTCATGGCAGAAGGAGTCTGTGCCCTTAATTAAAAGTTTCATTTGGTTTAATATCATGGAATTGGAGCTTGGGGTGGATGGTGGGCTTTATATTTTAATTGATTAATTCCTCGTGCAAGCACGGGGCGTTCCACTAGTATTATTAAGCGGAGGAAAAGAAATTAACCTGGATTTCCTTAGTAGCGGCGAGCGAACAGGAATGAGCCCAGCACTGAATCCCGCGGTACCGCCGCTGGGAAATGTAGTGTTCAGGAGGATCCGTTTATCTCGAGACATTGAATTGCGTCCAAGTCCACCTTGAATGGGGCCATTTACTCATAGAGGGTGCCAGGCCCGTAGTGACCGGTACGCGTTTCTGGAGGATCTCTTCTTAGAGTCGGTTTGCTTGAGAGTGCAGCCCTAAGTGGGTGGTAAACTCCATTTAAGGCTAAATGCGACCACGAGACCGATAGCGAATAAGTACCGTGAGGGAAAGTTGAAAAGAACTTTGAAGAGAGAGTTCAAGAGTACGTGAAACCGTTCAGGGGTAAACCTGAGAAACCCAAAAGATCGAATGGGGAGATTCATCGTCAACAACGCTGGATCCCGTTGGTGCGCGATGCCCCGGATGGACCCCCGGGTTCCATTAGCGAGGACGCACCACCTTCATGTCATGCACTTCTCCCGTAGTAGTAGAACGTAGTAGAACGTCGCGACCCGTTGCGTGTCGGTCTACGGTCCGAGGCGGAGCCTGTCCGTCGCTTTAACGGTGTTCGTGACAGAGCCTCGGTTGCCTGGCCGACTGGGCGACGGTACTCAGAGGACCGCCGCAAGCTAGGTTCAGTTATAATTACCCGGATGTACGGACTATGCGCCGTCCCCGGGCATGGCCAGCTGTTAGCAGGAGGAGTCCTTGGACTGGCCAAGTTTTGAATTACCGGTCGGCGACGGTATTGCTTTGGGTACTCTCAGGACCCGTCTTGAAACACGGACCAAGGAGTCCAACATGTGCGCGAGTCATTGGGATACAAATAAACGTAAAGGCGAAATGAAAGTGAATGTCATCCTTTGCGTCGACTCAGGGAGAATGGGCCTCGTTACGATTAGGTCTCGCACTCCCGGGGCGTCTCGTTCTCATTGCAAGAAGAGGCGCACCTAGAGCATACACGTTGGGACCCGAAAGATGGTGAACTATGCCTGGTCAGGACGAAGTCAGCGGAAATCCTGATGGAGGCCCGTAACGATTGTGAGGTTCAAATCGATCGTCGGAATTGGGTATAGGGGCGAAAGACTAATCGAACCATCTAGTAGTTGCTTCCCTCCGAAGTTTCCCTCTGGATAGCTGGCACTCGCTCGAACGTTATTGCGAGTCTCATCTGGTAAAGCGAATGATTAGAGGCCTTGGGGCCGAAACGACCTCAACCTATTCTCAAACTTTAAATGGGTGAGATTGCGACGACAGCCGCAGATCGGCATCGCGCATCGCGGGCCCCCGCCGCGACGGCATCCCCACTCCCATGCGATTAGACTATAAGTAGGACCGATCGATGCGTTGATCGATGAGTGGCTTCGGGGCTTCGGCCCCGAGAGGACCTCCTAGGAGGTCCGGCCCGGAGCACCAGAGCTCTCGACGCCATGGCTGACCTGGCGAAGAGATATCTGGCCGTCGCGTCGTGGCATTGCACTACGTCACGACCTAGCAGTTCCCATAGGTCCAGCAGCCGTAGCCACCTAGCCTCGTCATCTCCGCGGCTGACCCGGGGTGACCAAGCAAGTGCGTGTTCATAATCTCTGCCGCTACTTCCACGGGGATTCCGAACGCTAGCCTACCCGGTACCGCATTCTCCTTTTGGCAGTCGATTCCGCCCAGCTTCGTGGCGCTATCCAGGCTGGCCAGGATTGGTCGTCGTCTCATTCGCTGTTCGGTTCTACCTCGGCGTACGAGAAGATGAGCCGCGTGAGGCAAGCGGGCAGCAACTCCAGCGCGGCGCCAAACACCGCAGCTCGATTTAATAAAACACCGTCGGCCCGATCGGGTCAATCTTTCTCCCGACTCTTGCGTCCGGTAGTTCGACACACGATAGTGTCTCGGCGCTTTCGCTGATTTGTTCGCGTTCGCGCTCCGCGCATACGCGTATACCCGCGCTCGTATAGTTGTAAGGCGGTAGCGACCGCAGTAGTATGTAAGACTGGTTAGATATAAGTTCCGCGGAGATTCTCTTTGACGGACCGGGTTCCGACCGTAGTATATAAGTCCTGTACTCTAGTTTTAAGTAATACGGCCCCACGCGTCTAACGACCAGACGATCTTATGTTGTAGCTCGCGTGGCAGGACATGGCCGCCGCCCGACCAGCCTGACGAGCCTCACCTCATCTTTGAATAAGTATATATATATTTTTCTAATTAAATCTGCCTCGTCATCTACCGAACCTGTTCCCTTGCGAACCCTGGCGCGGGGAAACCGACCGCGGTGTGTAACGCCGTGTGCACCGAACCGACCGCCCCGTTACAAGACCTCTGATTTGCTTGCATCAAATGAAGCCATGAGATTTTATTATTGGATCAGAGTGCCAAGTGGGCCAACATTGGTAAGCAGAATTAGCGCTGTGGGATGAACCAAACGCAGAGTTAAGGCCCCTAACTCGACGCTTATGGGATACCATGAAAGGCGTTGGTTGCTTAAGATAGCAGGACGGTGGCCATGGAAATCGGAATCCGCTAAGGAGTGTGTAATAACTCACCTGCCGAAGTAACTAGCCCTGAAAATGGATGGCGCTGAAGGATCGCGCCTATGCTCCGCCGTCAGTGGCAAGTGGGGCTGGACAAAATTTGGTCCTCCATGAAGCCCTGACGAGTAGGAGGGTCGCGGCGGTGTGCGCAGATGGGTCTGGGCGTGAGCCTGCCTGGAGCAGCCGTCGGTGCAGATCTTGGTGATAGTAGCAAATACTCCAGCGAGGCCGCGGAGGACTGACGTGGAGAAGGGTTCGTGTGAACAGCCGTTGCACATGAATCAGTCGATCCTAAGCCCTAAAAAAAATCCTATGTAAATGAGGTGTCCTAAAGCTCTCAGATAAAAAGCAACAACAAAACTGTTAAATATGGCTAAATCGAATTAGTAGTTGCAGAGATGCACTCCCATTGGGCGAAAGGGAATCCGGTTCCTATTCCGGAACCCGGCAGCGGAACCGCATACCATTCGGGCCTTCGTAAGAGTGTTCGTCGGGGTAATCCAAAATGACCTAGAGACGCCGTCGGGAAATCTGGGAAGAGTTTTCTTTTCTGTATAAGCGTTCAAGTTCCCTGGAAACCTCTAGCAGGGAGATAGGGTTTGGAATGCGAAGAGCACGGCAGTTGCGGCGGTGTCTGGATCTTCCTCTCGGACCTTGAAAATCCAGGAGACGGCCACGTGGAGGTGTTGCGCCGGTTCGCACCCATATCCGCAGCAGGTCTCCAAGGTGAAGAGCCTCTAGTCGATAGATTAATATAGGTAAGGGCAGTCGGCAAATTGGATCCGCAACTTCGGAATAAGGATTGGCTCTGAGGAGCGGGGCGTGTCGGGCTTGGTCGGGAAGCAGGTCTGGCTGACGTGCCGGGCCTGGGCGAGGTGAACGGTTGGCGACTTCGGTCGCGTCCCGGGATCCAAGCTCGGTCCCGTGTCTTGGCCTCCCGTGGATCTTCCTTGAGGTTAGTCTTCTAGGCTTCCGTGGCGGTTACGGTGTCATGGTCACTTCTTCGGCCGCCATTCAACGCTTAGCTCAGAACTGGCACGGACTAGGGGAATCCGACTGTCTAATTAAAACAAAGCATTGCGATGACCCTCACGGGTGATGACGCAATGTGATTTCTGCCCAGTGTTCTGAGTGTCAACGTGGAGAAATTCAGAAAAGCGCGGGTAAACGGCGGGAGTAACTCTATGACTCTAGAGTAACTACGCTTATACCGAAAAAGTACGGTGTTGAAAAACCAGAAGACTACAGACCCATAACAGTCTAATCAGTCACCACCAGGACCTTCCACAAAATACTGGCAAGGCGCCTTACTAATATGGTTGCGCTCGATAAAAGGCAGAAGGTTTTTCTATCGACGGATGGATGCGCCGAACACACTTTCGATCTAGACCTAGTTCTTCGGTATCACCGACAAATCTTCAAGCCGTTATATATGGCGTTCATGGATATCGCCAAAGCTTTTGATTCCGTCTCACGCAAAACCATTAGAGACACCTTGTCTATCATGGGATTACCCAGCCCAATGATAGACTACATTATGGACACATATAACAGATGCCACACTAGTTTGACATCTGATAACTGGGAATCAGAGGTTATAAGACCCACATGCGGAGTCAAACAGGGCGAACCCCCGTCGCCTATGATATTTAATATGATTATGGACCGACTCCACAAACGACTACCACCCGAGGTGGGCGTCGACATCGGGAATGTTCGCTATAATGCGCTCATTTTCGCCGATGACATAATCTTCCTGGCCGCAACACCAAATAGCCTGCAACTAACAATCGACATAGCTTCTGAATTCTTAGCGCAATGCGGGCTATTTATAAACGCCACCAAATCTTTCGCCGTTGCATTATGGAATGTACCGCATGTCAAAAAGTCTGTGGTGGATAAAGAAACCCAGTTTAAATGTCGCGGACATAAGCTCCCGTCTCTCAGAAGGGAAGATGAATGGAAATACTTGGGAGTCCCATTTACGCCTGGGGGACGCTCTATAACTCAGTCCGAAGTTAAACTGAAAGAGGCAATAGACAAGCTCACCAAAGCACCCTTAAAACCTCAGCAAAGACTATTTATCTTACGGGTAATTATTTTACCAGGACTATACCACCTACTGACCCTGGGTACCACCACGCTGAGTAGACTGAAGAAGGTAGACAAAATGGTGCGCGCTGCGGTGAGGAAATGGCTCCGCCTCCCGCATGATACTGTTAATGCCTACTTTCATGCAAGTGCCAAAAACGGAGGTCTGTCAATCCCATCCATGAGATGGCTGATGCCTCTCCACAGAAGGGTGAGGCTTCAAAAGCTCACAAGGGAAGGTCTACCAACCAACTTATACCTCACCCAAGAAATTCAACGCACTATTCGCAGATTGACAGAAAAACGTATTGACATAAGCACTTCGGAGCAATTAGAAAACAGATGGCCCACAATTCTCCATTCATCCATTAATGGGAAAGGCCTCAGAGAATCAAGAATGGTACGCCAGCAACACCAATGGATAACCGATGGGAACCGCTTCTTAAGCGGCAAAGATTTTATAAATGCAGTTAAACTACGCATCAATGCACTTCCGACTAGGTATAGGACATCGCGTGGTAGACGCGCAGACCGTACCTGCAGAGGTGGCTGCAACGTAGCTGAAACGCTCAACCATGTGCTTCAACAATGCCACCGAACACACAGAGCTAGAATAGAGAGGCATAACGCTGTAACAGCTTACGTTAAAAGAGCTCTGGAGCAAAAATACGAGAAGGTCGAGGCTGAGCCTCACTTCAGAACAGCCGAAGGACTTAGAAAGCCCGACCTCGTAGCTAAACAAGGAACCACGGCAATCATGGTTGATACACAAATTAGTGAGCACATGGATTTAGATACATCGCACAAGAACAAAGTCGAGAAGTATGAACACCTACATCATGCCATAAAGGAAAGATACGGCGTCCGCGACGTATCCTTTACAACTGTCACGCTGTCATATCACGGTGTATGGAGCGAAAGATCAGCCAATGAAATAATAAGAAGAGGTATCCTTAAAAAGAACGAGTTAGAAATTGTGGGAGGACCAAACAGCTTTTGGAGGTTCAACAAAACAACATCTACCAGGATAAACACCATCCCGCCAACAGGTGTAGGATGAGCAAAGAAACGCTAAATCGGACCACTTTGGTGTTGCCTGCCATCTCAGGCATAATACGATGGATTTTTAGTGGGTATGTCCTGTGAAAATGGATGAGTCCCACACAACCGGTTGACATCCGACCGGTATGCGTAATACATTTCTCCATCTAAAAACAAAAAAACAAAAAATATACTAGCAGCACGACTTATATTAAAGCAAATGATACCCGCGTAGAAACTCAGATTAAAAGAGGCGTCAAGCAAGGCGACCCTCTATCGCCATTACCATTCAATCTTTGCATTGAGCAACTTTTAGAGGATTTGCAAGATAAAACCTCAGGCTTGAGCACTAGCCTGGATCATAATAATACGGTGTCAGTTCTGGCATTCCCCGATGATATTGTTGTACTAGGCATAAATGAATAAGAAGCACAATTCCAGCTAGAAATAATATATAAATATCTAAATAACTTAGGGATGTCATTATCCACTTCCAAATATCTGACATTTGAAATTAAAACGCATCGTGACACATGGTACGTCGTGGATCCCAACTTAAATATAAGCGGGAACAAAATACCCGAAGCTGATTCAAGCACTGCTTTTAGATACTTGGGCGCAAAGATTGGCCCTTGGAAGGGATTCGAGAGTGGCATAGTAGTGCCTGATATTATTAATATAATAAAAAGGATAAGGAAAATGCCACTTAAGCCATATCAAAAGATAGACCTTTTTACCTCGTATATTATACCGCATTTTATCTAAGGTCTACTTATTTACCCACCAGGAGATTCCACTTTGAAACTACTAGACTCCGAAATCAGGCAACAGATAAAGGAAATACTCCATTTAACTCCGTCCACAGCAACGGGCTTTTTCTACACAAAAAAAATCAATGGCGGCCTAGGTATCCCAAGACTAGAAATAATTATAAAATTAGGAGTGCTAAGAAGTGCCATAAGAATGAAAAGCTCGATAGATCCGGCGGTAAAAAATATAATAAGCTTAACTACGGCGGATAAATAATTTTTAAAAATCACGAACTCTCTGCGCATAAACTGGCCTGCGACATTAGATGACATTGAGGCTGCACGTAGAAGATTAAGAGCCCAACCGAGTAAAGAATGGAGTGTACTACGTATCCAAGGACAAGGTACAAATGAATTTTATAAAGATCCAGTTGGTAATAAATGGTTGAGCCAGCCAACCCAGCTCAAGGGAGCGAGATTTATTGACGCAATACGCTTAAGGACGAATACTATGGGTACAAGGGTTGTTTTAAATAAGACCAATAAAAACATAAATCCAATATGCAGGCGGTGTCACCTGCAACCTGAAACTCTGGGGCATATATTAGGACAGTGCTATCACACCTAAGGTTTTCGAATTAAACGGCATAATGAAATAAGAGATCTTTTAGCAGTAAACTTGGCAAATAAGAATCAGTTTACAGTAGAACCAACCTTAACCGTACGGGATGAACTCCGAAAGCCTGATCTCATAGTTAAAAATGAGAAGCAGGTGTTCATAGTCGATGTTACTATCCGCTATGAACATAAGGAGTATCTCAATATCGCGGCTGTTACGTCCCACCTTATGGGTGGTTATTTTATTGTTAATACGTTCTACGGGTTCTGCCGATTAAAACGCTCAGGCGTACCTTGACCTTTCAAGGATACATCATTGCTGCCGGCATCATAAGCCTTAAGATAAATGGAAGCCAAACGCTCTTTTACGTCGTCGACACCCCGGATTTCCCTGACGGAGTAATAGGACTCTTAGGTAGCCCGTACCTCCTGCAAGAGGAGAGCAAAATTTCTTTTCATCATAGAACCCTAGTAACGAACAAACGGCAGATTCATCCCATCGGACTCTCGAACTCACGGGAGATAAAAGAAACGCTGACCTCTTGCCAACGCAACCAGGAAGCCCCGCAAGCGCTGCTCGGTAAACAAGAAGGTATAAAACTTGCATCAGCCGATTGCACAGACGATAACGACGAGGACGCGGACCGCGCCGTCGAACGGCTGACCCAGTAAAATCCTCCGGAATCGGGTGACGATAAAATAATTTTTAACCAAGAAAAAAAACCGACTTCGAAATTCACTAA